CATCAGTAGGGGGACTTGCTAAATAATGTATAATACACCCACACAAAAGAATCCTTTGCATCTGTCAAAAAAAAAAATGAAGACAATCTCTAGGTATATTGTTGGGTTGAAAGGAAAAAAGCTGTGTGTGATAGCTCTGGAAGGATGCAGAAGAATCTAGAAAGGTGATTACTTCCCTAGAGTACTGGCCATAGGGAGGCAGAAAAGGCTTGCTTTGAGCTCTATTCTCTTTGGTAGTGTTTGAATGTCATATCAGGTATATGTATTTCTCATTAAAAACAAGCAAAATAGAAAAATGTAAAGGGGTGTTGCAGCTGTCCAGCTGATCCCAATCTGTTAAGAACAGTAGTGGTGGAGAGCATGCACGGATTCAGCAGATGTTTGGGAGGAAAGTTGATGAGACAACTCCAAAGGTGGAGCAGACGTGGGAGATGAGGTGAGTAAGCCATCCAGGACGACTGCTGTAGCTGGTGGAGAGCTGTGCCGTCTGCTTCGCCGCAGAGACTTAGCGAGGAACAGCTCCAGCACGTGAGACAGTGCAAGGATTCCGTTTTGGCTATGTGCAGTCTGAGATGCCTGATAGTCATTCATGTGGAGATGTCAAATAGGCAGTTGGAATAGGAGTCTTATTGCTCAAAAAAGGAGTCTGGAATGGAGGTATTTTGGAGGCATTGGCACATAAATCAGCACTGATAAATAGAAATATAATGTTAGCCACATACGTAATTTAAAATTTTCTAGGAGCCACATTACAAAGTAAAAGCAGGTGAAATTAATTATGATATATTCCATTGACCCAATATATGTAAATATTATCATTTTAACATGTAATCAGTGTAAAAATTAGCAAGATATTTTTTTCATACGAAGTCTCTGAAATATGGTGTGAATTTTATACTTACAGCACATCTCAATTAGGACTAGCCACATTTAAAGTGCTCAATAGCCGCACACAGCGATGGCACAGAGATAGGGATGATGTTTAAAGCTATGGGACCAGATAAGTGGAAGGGCCTTGGGCGCTTAAACATTTAGAGTTCAGGCAGAAGGGGAGGAGCTGACAAAAGAGACAGCAAATGAGCCCAGTAAAGTAGGAGGAAATCAAGGCGAGCGCAGTATCAAGGGGCCATGAGGAAGGGGCTGTCAACTCTATCAACTGATGCTGAGAAGTCAAGTCAGATGAGGACAAGGAAGTGAACACTGTGATTGGGAAGATGGAGTTAGTCATCTTGGTAAGACAGTTCCACGAGACTGGGGGCTCCTCCTGTGGAGGAGAAGAGAGAATGGGAGGTGGACAGTGGAGACGGCACAGACATCTCAAACGCAACGCATTCCAAATGATCTGCCTCGCCTGGGCCCTCTCCCCTAGTCTTCCAATATTCTCATCTCTATGGGGGCTCACACTAGAAACTGATACTGAACCTGAAGTGAGTGCGCTCACCCGTTGCCCAGCAAGCCAATCTCTGACACCAGGTGTGGCAGAAGAATGTAGGAATTTTATTTTTGCACAGCGCTGAGCAAGGAGAGAGGGCAGCTAACACTGAAATCCCAGACTCCCCGAAAAGCTAAAGGGAAGGGCTTTTATTGGGGTTTTAAGTAGGGGAGGGGGAGCATATGGCCTTGCTGGTTGGAGCCTTCCCGGTGCCTGTCTTTGGCCTTGAGACACCTGCAGAGAGGAGGGAGCCCAGGACCTTGCTGGTCAGCAGGTTTCCCACCAGCCTGTATCTCTTTGCCGGGAGGAGATAATGAATCCAGGGGCTTGTCCTTGGCAGTGACTGTCTCCATGGAGCAGAGTGGGTTCTGGAGCCAGGAAGCCAGAGAGTAAGCAGGGAATGAGTGTTTTGGTTTTAACCCCATATATGCTGGGTTTAATGTGGGTAAACTAATATCAGGGTAGGTAACAAAACCTGGGGCACATTTTCAAGTCCTTCCTTTCTTTCAGACCTCATCTACTATTATTCAGAAAGTCATCTCCATCTCACTTCCTATAATCTTGTGCCGCCTTTGCTCCATCCCTATTTCCTCAGCACAGGCCCTTGCCACCTCTTATCTTCCTAATTGCTAATAATCCTTACGGTTATTCAACCTCCAGCCTTGTCACTCTCAAAATGATGTTGGCAAAGCCTGGGTGCACCCAGAAAGCGGAAGATCGGCTTGCGTGGCCAGACTGAATTTTTAAAAACACCAATCTTGCATTTTTGCTACCCTGCTGGAAATCCGTGCATGGCTCCTCACGGACCAGGTTTAGTGTTTCAACTCTCTCTTTAGTTTTCTGTTTGGAGTTTCTGCTCTCTCCTTCCCAGATCAATACAAACACGCGCACATCCAGCTCTGTTTCAGGCCTGCATCTCTATTATCCCTCCTACCATCCCCTCTGAAGGGCCCTCCCTCTTAACGAGGCACCGTGACTGGCTCATTTTAACTAACCTGGTTTAGCTATCAAATTCAGGGAGCTCCAGCACCCCCACCCCCTCCCCCAAGGCTGGCTAAACTTAGCACCTGTTCCCCCTTTCCCAGCCATTTCTATAGAATTTGGCGCTTATTTCAGCCGCTGTTCTTGCCACATTCATCCATTCATCAAACTGTTTTTAAAGGATCAGTTCCTGTCGACGTCTCCATCTAAACCGTGAACCCTCCGAGGTCCGAGCACCCGGCACGCGTAAGTACGGCGCTTAACCCAGCGCGACCCAGGACCCCAAGGGGCTGCGCAGGAGCAGGCGGCGCGCGTGCCCGCGTCCTGACGCCCCGCACCGCGCGGGGGCGGGACCCGAGCCCGCTCCGCTCCCGGCGGAACCCCGCCCCGCAGCCCGCCCCGGCCAGCTGCGCGCCGGCCCGGCCCCGCCCACCACGTGCCCACGGCCACCCACGTGAGCGTAGCCCCGCGTGACCCCCGTGGCGTCACGTGCGCCGCGCCGCCATGTGACCGCACTCCGCCCTGGGCCGGCCGCTGTCGCTCGTCGGTGCCCGGCCGGCTCGATGGAGGAGGAGGAGGAGGAGGCGCGGGCGCTGCTGGCGGGCGGCCCCGGCGCGCCCAGCGCGCTGCCGGCCCTCTGCGACCCCGGCCGCCTGGCGCACCGGCTGCTGGTGCTGCTGCTGATGTGCTTCCTGGGCTTCGGTGAGCCGGCGGCCGGGCCGGGGGCTGGGAGCCGAGCCTTCGCGGCTCCCCGGGAGCGCGAGGGCCGCGCCGAGCGCCCGCGGCTACGCGGCCTTCGTGCAGCTTCTGGCTGCGGCTCCTGGGCTCCCTTCCTTTCCCTTCGCGACCCCACCCGACCCTTGGACGTGCTAGCTAGCGGCGTCCCGAAGGTGGGGGCAGGGGACCGAGCCGGGCGCGTTTGTCCCGCGCCTTTGCTCTCCAGGAAGTCCTAGAGGCTAGCAACTCGGGCCCGGGGCCGTAGACGTGAAGGAGCCCCTGAATGGGCAAGGTTCCTCTCTCAGGACACTTTGTTCCGAAGGAATTCAGGAAAGTTTAACTGTCTCCTCCTCTTTTTTGAATGAATAATTTGGTAGTCCTTCATAGGTGTGTCACCCTCCTTGGGGAAATGTAGGAGTCTGTCTGTCTGATGGCTTCAGTGGGTAGATGTGTCCTCTGCCTTTCCTCCACTGTGAAGCAATCTTTCTGGATTGGACTTGTGGTAGGCTTGGCGGTGTTTGGTTTCGGTTACGAAGTCTGATGACTATGAAGGCAGTTTCCTGAGATAATTTTTAAAACATCTGCCTGTGTTTCAGCGACATGCTAATGTCAGTATTTGGTGTCAAAATAACGAGTTTTTCAGGGGGCTCACTGGAACCAGTGTAATCAGTAGGTTTAGAAATACTATGGTGATAACTTTATGCTGGTGATGGAATATATAAGTAGGGATGAAGGATGCTTTGAGCTTTAGTTTCTTGGCGGCTCTCTCTGTCCCCCTGCCCCCTTTGTGGAAAGATCATGCTCATCCATTAACCTTAAAATATGACATTGGTATCTCTTATGACGATTAAAACAGGAATCACAAATTTCTAGGTTTAGGAACGAAAAACAAGAACAACACAAAACACTTAAGATTGCCGCTACGGCAGCAGGCAGATTATTTTTGGTAAATTATAGTTATCTGCCTGGGTTTCAGACACCAGATTCATACTTTTCTAGTGACAGTTTTCCTTGTTTTGAACCAGTAGCTTCTGATATGTACTCTAGAGAGAGTTAATGGAGAAATGGAGGCGGTATTATCTTGTGGCCTGCAAAAATCTGTCAGTTATATTGCTTTAGAAATAAATCTGAGCGCGTGAATGTCATACCTCTCTCCACTTCTTTCTTACTCCCCAGCAGACATTATTATTATGTTTCAATTTAATCCTTTACACCTCTTTTTTGTCTTCATTTCTTCATTCTTGGTGGTGTCTTCGCTAAATTATTTGGTCTTGAGTGTTCTATTTGTAGAGTTACAACTCTTGTTTCAAATATTGGTTTAGTCACAGTAGTTAAACTCCATTTTTCTGCTCTCAAAATAAGTGATGACTTCAGGTACCTTTGCTAGGAGAGTGTCCGTGAAATGTTTAGCGTTTGTGTTTTGCTAGCTTTAAATAAGGGGGAAGTATAGCTGCTTCGTGAGGATGCTAATAATAGACGTTATGCAGCATGATGCAAGTCAGGTGGAAGAACAGTTAGTTGTTGGTTAGCTTCGTCCAGGTTCCCAGTATTTCCTCACTAATGATTTGTAAACCATCGGGCATGTTTTCTCTCCTTGTGTTTGGCTACAACCTGGAAAATATTAGCGGACAAGGAAGTGGTCCAAAATGTTTCCCTGGTGTCAGGCCCCGAGAGCCTAATGTAAACATTTAAAATCACCATTTGAGTAGTAATTGCAACTTGAGACTTGTGTATGGGTAGTATTATTACTGTAAACGATTTGCTCTTCCTTTTTCTAGGCAGCTATTTTTGCTATGATAATCCTGCTGCGCTTCAGAGTCAGTTTAAGCGGGTAAGTTGCTTTTTCACCTTTGTTCCTTTCGTTGACTCTGGAGCAGGTTTAGCTGTGGAGGCGTCGTCCCGTCACACGTTGCCTAGTCTGAAACAGTCTGATGAATCTGTGTTGACATCTCTGGCCACCAGATCTGTGCAGCAAGGAGTGTTCTTGAGTTGGAATGACTGGCCACAAGGAATTCATTTACGGCACTGATGACTTGATGTTGTTTCACACCTTAGATAAATAAAGTGCTGTTTCTACAATATTGCCAAAAAATATTAGCAGATTTTTGCTGCATTTCACTCTTGCATTGTGTAATTATCTGAATGACAGATGATTTGGTAAGATAGCCTTTTGCTCTCTTAAATAAGTTTTTGTTGTTATTTCATTTATTAAATGTGGGTACTGATTGCAGAGTATTGTTTATATCAGTATTTTAGTCTGGTTTTAAAAAATTATGTTTGATGTTTAAAGTTTCTCCTGTATTTAGATAGTTTTTTTTCTTTCTAAGTTTTTTGCCTTTGGGCAGGGAGAAATGCATAGATTGGTCCTTCACATTCTAGAATGAAAAGGAAAAAAGAAGAAGTTGGGAGCGGGTAGGAATAGGCTAGGATTCCCCTTTTCCATGTGGGGGGAGCCCCAGTACAGGTAGTCTATGGGGAGTAAGAATAGAGAAGACACAGGCAGATGCAGATGGAGGTGCTCCTGTAGTGGGGGAGCTGATCGATCCTGGACTCCACGAAGCCTCTGAAATGGCATGTGGACTCAGGGGCTTCCCAGGGTTCCCAGGTGGGGCCATGGCCCTCAGGAGATTCTCAGAGCACTTAGTGAGCACAAATGATGAAGAAACTCCTACCCTACACAGAAAGAATGTTGTCATTGTTAGTTGCTAAACTTAACTGTTTGGAAAAAAATAGTTTTATTTTCTTTCCATATAGGATATGCAGGTGAATACCACGAAATTCATGCTGCTCTATGCCTGGTATTCTTGGCCCAATGTAGTTTTGTGTTTCTTTGGTGGCTTTTTGATAGACCGAGTGTTTGGAATACGGTAAGCTTGAAAAAAATCTCACCTATGGGTAAAATCTGATTATTAGGAAAACGCAGAACTAGATTAAGGTATTTCTAAAAAGAACTGAATAAACGCTGTATTGATTATGATAATCTGCTTTATTATTTTTTTATGATTTTTTTTGTCTCTGGAATTGGTTTTTGAAACTTGGTGTTTCAGTTAAGGTTGGGATGAGTAAATGCTGCTCCCGGAATAAGGTAACTCAGTTCTCTAAGGGTAAATTATGCCCTCACTTGGAAGCAGGCATGCCAGGGTCTGAATCCCATTGCTCCCACTTGCTCAACTTCCCAGCTCCTCGGAGCTGTTGTAGCTTCCTGAGCTTCAGTTTCCTTATCGGTGAATATGGACGGTAATTCCTCCCTGACGAGGTGGTCGTGAGGACTGAGAGAGGTGGAGGTTCAGGGTTTGCACGTGCCTAGTATCGGCCTCTTCCAGCCCCAGAGAAATTTTCTCTTTCTGCCCTTCTTTGGACATGGAACTTTTTGTGACCGGTTCTGTTAGATGCTGAGGAAGGAGTAGCACTGTGAGCTCTGCCACTTTTCGTCCTTGTGATCGTGTGTGGTGTTAGTGTGTCGTTAAGAGGAATGTAGACTGGGAATGTTTTCAGAAGGCAGAGGGCAAAATGACGAGTTTTCCAGTCATGTCTGGTGGAAAAGAATTGAAGAAACTGTAAGTGTTTAGATTTGGGGACTAACTTTTAAACATTTTGAAGAGTTAAAGGAGGAATTAAATTTATTTCACTTGGTGTATAGGGATAGAATTAACCTGAAACTTCACGGGGACAGATTCCACTTAGTACGATGAAGACTTTGCTTGGTCGGGTTGAGAGCAGGGGCCGTGAATTGCCTTGGGACCACGGTGAGTTTCTAGTGCTGGAGAGCATTCAGTGAAATGTGGTATGGCCATTTCACCAGGATCTTGAGAGGGGTTTGAGTTTCTGAAGACGGTTTACTCCCCACATCTCTAAGGACTCTTCTAATGCCCGATGCTGTCACTCTGGGGAAACATTAATCAGATACTCAAAGTGTGCAACATTAGAGGCAGATTTCTGGTTGTGTTAACATGGTTGGTATTTGTCCTTTTAAAAATAGTTTTTAGTTATCAAGAATTGTAACCACTTGGGGCTGGCTCCGTGGCCCAGCGGTTAAGTTCGCGCGCTCCGCTACAGGCGGCCCAGTGTTTCGTTGGTTCGAATCCTGGGCGCGGACATGACACTGCTCATCAAACCACGCTGAGGCAGCGTCCCACATGCCACAACTAGAAGGACCCACAACAAAGAATATACAACTATGTACTGGGGGGCTTTGGGGAGAAAAAGGAAAAAATAAAATCTTTAAAAAAAAAAAAAAAAAAAGAATTGTAACCACTTAATTTAGAATTCCTTAGAATCAATCCTAAACTTAATAGAAATTTTATAATGTCTCTTTTTAAATGGGAACCCTGGAAATTTCTTAAAAATTATTTAGTAGGTTTTTTTAAGAGGTGATAGTAGCTTAAATCAGCATATGCCATTACTGAAGGCTCTGGAATCCCCTTAGAAGTCAAGACTTGTATAGATTAGCATTCAGCCTAGGAAAGCTGCTCACTTTAGGGGCAGACCAGCACCTCATTTTCTTTCCTTGGAGGGAATGCGGAGGGGTCAAAGAAAAGCAAAGTGAATTTTTACTGAAGGACTTGGTAACATCCTTTTAATTTACTCTCTCTCTCTCTCTCAGATGGGGCACCATTATTTTTAGCTGCTTTGTTTGCATTGGGCAGGTAAGAAAGGCCTAAACATTCACTGTCATTCGTTGACATTATGTGGCAGTGATTTTTGAGTTCTTGTCTAACTCCGCCAGCAAAGATATGTTTAATGAATGCCTACTTAAGTAAGCAGGGTCTGTGCGCGCCCGTACAGCATACCACAAGGCCGTGTTAAGCACGGTCCGTGCGTGCCCGTGCAGCATACCACAAGGCCGTGTTAAGCCTCGAGACAGACGAGCAGTGACATTCACTGAGAAGGAACATTACCACTGTTGTGGAAGTTGTGACGCATTGTAAGTTGCTATTTCTCTTGCATACCTTGAGTTTATTTTTGCACTGATTCTGCATTCTAGGTGGTGTTTGCCCTGGGTGGAATCTTTAATGCCTTTTGGCTGATGGAATTTGGAAGATTTGTGTTTGGGTACGTTATGCATAATTTAATTTATTCTAATATATTATTGTTTTAGTGTTCATCTATCAGTTTATTAAACATTTACAAAAACTTGTCTCTTTTGGAGAATTACTTCATATCCTTGAAATCTAGCTACATATAAATAAGGCTGTTCATTAGTTGTCTTAATTTTCCTTTAAAGTAAGCAGCGATGTTGAGTGGGCATGGTTGACTGTGTGTGGGACTTGAATATTAAATGCTTCCCCAGGAATGACAGTCTCCTGCGTGTTTGCTGTTGTGTTGAAGACTCTGGTTTAAACCTCGTTTAGAAAACTACAGACCATCGATTTCTAGGCTGGTGACTCAGGAAGATTTTGCTCTGTCTTAGTGGGTGAGGCACAGGTCCTTTTGGACGCTGTCAAGCATCTTGAATGAGCAACCAGTAGACCGATTGCCTCTCATGAATTTCGTGTTGTTCAGTGAGCCCATTCTGAGTCCAGCCTTGGGCTTCCTGCCCTGAGGGACACAGATGACGTAACTTATTCAAGCTTTGCACAGGTACCAGAGACATGTAGCCATATGTGAGATACCCCAAAAAGTGCTCTAAGTGAGAGAGAAAAAATAAAATGTACATAAAAATATGAAAGGGATTCAGAGATGGAAGTGTCGTTGGAAGTGGCCTCATGGACCAAGTGGGCCTGACGTCAGTGTAAGATTTGGGTTAGTAGAGGAGACAGGAGATGTCTTTGGACCAGGACAGAGAGGTGAGGAGGGCTCAGTGTTAGGATACGGAGGAGAGGAAACGCCTAGCTCAAGGCCTGGAGCAGGGGATGATCAATATGTAGAACTTACAGAAGGAAAGTTAAAACCCGGGCGGTAGGAGAATGTTGAACATGGAGGGTATCGGCCTGAAAAGACGGAATATCTGTGCTTCCATAAAGTATGGACCACTCTCCCCACGTGAACTTTTTATATGGCATAGATGGTGATGTGGAACTCAGACTCCTTTTATTGCCTGTCGTGGGTATCACTGCGGCATGTCAAATTCCCCAACACTTAGCAGTTTAGAACCACCGTTACCTTGTGTGTGCGGGCTTTGTGGGTCAGGAATTTGGATTCCTGGGTTCAGGGTACAGCAGGGGCTGCTTATCTGTGCAGCTGATGTCTGGAGCCCCAGCTGGAGAGATTTGTGGAAGGCTAGGGGCTGGAATCATCTGAAAGCTCGTTGACTGTCATGTTTGGTGCCTGGGCTGGGATGACATGAAGACGAGCACTGCGGGCTGCAGCACCTAAACGTGGACTCTTTCTGTGGCTCGGCTTTCTTTTAGCGTGGCAGGCTCAGGGTGGACTTCTTACGAGGTGGCTCAGGGCTCCAAGTGTGAATGTTGGAGTGAAAAGGCAGATGTCACCTTTTATGACCCGGCCTTGGTGTCACACAGTGCTGCCCCGCCATGTTCTGTTCGTTGAAGCCATCACAAGCCCAGCTGGATGCAGGGGAGGGGCATAGACCTTTGATTAGAGGGGTGTCAAAATTTTAAACCTGCTGCATTGCTGACCGTGAAAAGCTGTGACTTTTCTTCCTTTCTTCATTTTTAGGATTGGTGGGGAGTCCTTAGCAGTTGCCCAGAATACATATGCTGTGAGTTGGTTTAAAGGCAAAGAATTAAACTTGGTATTTGGACTCCAGCTTAGCATGGCTAGAATTGTAAGTATGATAAACCTAATGAAGCCCAACAGCAAGCAAAAGATTGAATGTTGTGATTATCTCTTAAAAATTTCAGGATGAAGTGTGTTTGCATATGATACATTAGGTACTGATTTTTAATTATTTTTCTCTAGACCATAGTATAGCATTTACCTTACTGTAATTAAGGCGTTTCTAACTGTATTTAACTTGGGGTACAGACTAAAATGGCTAATTGCGCATTCATTAGTTCAGAGAACCGGCGCAGTGGGAGGGATCTTACAGGTTTTGTCGTCTGATTTCTTCCCCCATTTCGGCATTGCTGCTGTGAAAGTCTTCACGTACGCTCCCCCAGGCTCTGCGTGCCGTTCGCAGTGATTGGAAGCTCGCTGTGATGGGCGGCCCATCTTCTCCGGCTAACTTCGTAGAGCTCAGCCTCACACAGCGGTGAAGGCCGCCTGCGCGAGTAGCGTGACGGATGGCTCTGACTTTGTCCTCTGGTTAATGTTCATTTCCTCTGCTGTGCGCCAGCGCTTTGCTTACTGAGGCAGCTCTTAAATTCTTGGTCATACATGCTCATTTTCTGTGTTTGTCTAAGCCGCATGATGTTGGTTTCGGGTGCCTGACCGTGGTGCTCACACCTCTCTGGACTGAGCACGGGTGGCCACTGCTCCTGGCATTTGCACCGTGGAAAGGATCATGGTGTTTTAGGTTTTGTCTGAAAGACCGCACCCAGGAGAACAACATTATGCTTTTATTAATGCAACCTGTAGGGTGTTCTGACCGTCCCAAACCCCTTTAGGTTTTCTCCTCATAAACTCCTATGAATAGAGGTTTTTAAAAAAATCCTTACCATTAAAAATCAAGCTTTCCAAGACTAAGAAATGGCATGAAGATGCTTTTAACATATTTTAGGGAAGAAGAAATCCAGTACAAGAAGTTTTTAACGTAATATTTTATTGTTCGAAATATTTAACACCTATGTATGTTGAATAGATTACATTCCTATATTTTTGTACCTGTGGGTTCTTTTTAATTTTTCGCTGTTATAAATGGCACTGTTGTGTAACACTCTATAAAACTTGTCTGCGTCTCTGCTTGTTTCCTGAGGGCTAGCTTGCTAGGCATGGAATTATTTTTGAGTCAGAGGGTTTATGAGGGTTTCTTAGGACTGTTGACACATATTTCCACATTATCCTCTCAGAGACATTCAAATCCCCATCCATGGGATATGAGAGAATCCTTTTTATTATAGCTTTGACAGTGCAGGCTATTATTACTTTAAAAAAAGTCATTTTATCAATTTGATAGGAAACACCTAAATATTATTTTAACTTGTAATTCTTTGATAACTAGTGTGGTTTCCCATATTTTCTAAGTTTTATCCACAATTTCTAAATGTTATTCCCATATTATCTAAATAATATTCTGAGTACTTCATTAATGCATCTTGTGCAAGTCAAGATATGCCTGGCAATTTGTTGATCTTGTTGTCTAGTAACTCCTTAGAGAAGGAGCTAGGATCAGTTGAGCAAGACTCATTCTCAGTGACATCATCGTGGCTACTAGAGATCTTCAGGTTCTTTTCTGTGTGACCACAAATCAGTTGTTGTCCATTCAGCTGTGTCCTGAGGCGCCCTCAGTTTTTAGAAAGGAATCTCGAGCTTCTAGGAGGCGGGTGGGGCTGTTGGAGTGGTGGGGAGACCTGAGGAGGCGGTGGGGTGAGCCGAGCCCGGGCAGCCAGGGTGGCTCTGCTTACTCTGCCTTGTGTGTTTAGGGTCCTTGTGAGATGCGGGGACCAGAGGATCCCATCACAGAGCTGCGGGGTAGACGCAGTCATGTTTCTGCACTTCTCCTGTCCCTGCGCGTCCTCAGGACGGTCACAGAGGCTCTGGCGTTCCTTCTCTGTGACTGTTCTCTTTGCCTGAGCTGTCAGTTTGTTGGAGTTTAGATGCGTGAACTGTGTTCATAACACCTTCAGGTCGTGTACTTCTCATTTTTCTTATTATTCAAGTCTTAGTTGGGGCTTGAAAGTTCAGCACCCTTTGATTTTCCTTTGTAATTTGTTACTTTAAATTAATTATTTTGACAAATATTTACTGCATACTTGCTAAGCCAGGTCATGTTAGGCATTTTAGAATTAAAGGATTATTTAAGGTGACATCCCTGCCTTTGAGGAGCTTGTGTTTTTGATGACATTGGGGAAGGTTTCCTGGAGGACTCTGTTTACCTTCTTGCTCATCTGAGTAGTGCCTCTGGCTAAGTGTGTTGTAGGAAATAGGCGTGTGAAATTAGCTGCTGTGTTTGCTGTGAGAAGACTGTTGAGGATTGTTCCATCCTCAGTCTTGAGAGTCTGGCCTGTCAGCAGCATTGGGCACGGTTGACATTCCCCCTCCTGGCTTTCTCCTCTTGGGTCCAGGACACTGCAGTCCCAGGGTTCTCCTCTTGCCTTTCTGTCTGCTCCTCCTCTCCCTCTTTTGCTGGTTCCATCTCAGTCTTCTCACCCTTTAGATGTGGGAGTGCCCCAAAGCTTGGTTCTTGGATGTCTTCTCTTCCACACTCACTTTCGTGGTGATCTTATCTACCTTTGAGGTTTTAAATAGCATGTTTTTGCTCCTGAATGTGTGTCACTTGTCCAGATCTTCCCCTGAATCCCACACCCATACATGCAGCTTCCTACTTGACGTCTCTCCTTGGATGCCTAGTAGGTGGATCACACCTGACATGATAGCACCTAGCTCTCGATATCTACCTGCCATCCGCCACCCAGCACAGGCGCTGGTTTGCTCATGCTCAGTTATAGGCAACCCTTTTCTTCCAGTTACTCAGACGAAAACTTTGGTGTCATCCTGAAATGTTCCTCTTCTTTTTTCCTCCCATACTCCACGTATTTTCTCTTGGCAAATCTAACTGTTAGCTTTACCATCAGAATATATCCATATTCCGACCACTTCCCACCATGCCCACTGCTAACCACGCTAGTCTGAGAGCCCTCGTCTCTGTTGCGGATTCTTGCAGTAGAGCCTAACCCATAGCGTTGCTTCTGCCTTCCTCCCCACTTGTAGCCCGTTTTGAATATAGCAGCCAGAGCGAGTCTGTTAAAACATACGGGATCATGCTGCTCCTCGGCTCAAAACCTCAGTGTCTTCCCATCTCACACAGAATAAAAACCAAAGTCCTTGTTATTACCTATAGCTCACCTCCCCACTATTTCCTCCCTGGGACCTCATCTCAACCCCTCCCCTCTTCATTTGTGCTCTTCCAGCCTCTGCCCTCCTTGCCGTTCCTCTTGGGGCCTGTGCACTGGCGGTTTCTTTTGCCAGGATGCTTTTCCCCCAGGTCTCACAGCTAACTTCCTTCAGGTTTTACTCGAAAGTCATGTTCTCATTGATGCCTCCACCCATTTATATTCTCCTTCCCTGTTTTATTTTTTCCTTACTTTTTAAAGCACTTACTGTGATTAATATACTACATATTTTACCTCTTCCATCTCCCGAAAATATAAGCTCTATGAGAGCTGGAAGTTCTTCTGTTTTATTCTTTATCACATCCCCAATACCTAGAACAGTGACTGGCATGGAATCAGGCCTCAGTAAGTGCTAAATGAGTGAAGATATTATCCGCTATACCTGTTACTGTCTTACAGACATTCAGAGTATGACTTTTTTTTTCAGTTGTCAATACTAGGAAAAGCTGTGCATTTTCTGAGCTAAGGTTTATTTTTGTCGTAGTACCCTGTGAGTTTTGTAACTCAGCATATTTCATTTTTGCTTTGGTTACTGGGAAGTTATTAGTGTACTGTGCTATTTTGAATTCTAGCATTTTCTATAAATTGGTATTTTTTTGTGTAGTAATCTTATCTGCGGCTTTTGTTTTTTCCCTTGTGTTTTTAAGAAAATTTATCTCTTGTTTAATCTGGATCCTACTTGTACCTATTTCTTCAAGCCATCTCATATCCTTTTTTCAAACGAGGCAGAGATATAAATGAAAATTTTGTTGATTTTCCCTTCTTTTTCAGGGCAGTACCGTGAACATGAACCTTATGGGATGGCTGTACTCTCAAGTTGAAGCTTTGCTGGGTTCTGCTGGTCCCACAACCCTTGGGGTCACACTTATAATCGGTTAGTGAATCTTGATGTCTCACGTTTTCTCTTCTGAATGCATGTCATGGGAAGTATTGTGGCAGTGGAAGGAACGCTGGAATTGGGGTTAGACCACTTCAGTTAGAGTTTGGCCTGCACAGTTCACTAGTTCTTTGACCTAATTAGAAATAGTGAATCATTCACCACCCCCCCCCCCTTTGTTTTTGGTGAGGAAGATTGGCACTGAGCTAACCTGTTGCCCATCTTCCTCTTTTTGCTGGAAGAAGATTGTCCCTGAGCTAACATCTGTGCCAGTCTTCCTCTATTTTGTCTGTGGGACAGTGCCACAGCATGGCTTAATGAGCGGTGTGTAAATCCATGCCCAGAATCTGAACTCGTGAACCTGGGCTGCTGTAGCGAAGCATGCAAACTTAACCACTATGCCACTAGGCTGGTCCAACCCCATTTGTACTTTTATTTCCACTTCTTACATTGGAGGATCTTTTCCCACCTCATCTACCTCAGTGTTGTCATGGTGAGCAGAGGGGAGAGGTGTGTGAAAACTCTGACGACAGTCCGGGAACTTAGGCCCGTGAGGTGTTCCTTGGTGGTCTGTGGCAGAAGGAAGATTGCTTCCTTCTGATGACATTCGGTTAGGACGCCTGTAGAGCTTAGATGTTACGGGATCAAGGGTGATGTGATAAGGCAAGAAACCTGCTGGAGCCTGGGCTCTGGTCCTGGCTCTAACTGGTTCCGTCATTTGGACAAGGAAGTTTAACTTCCGTGCCTCATTTTTCTTTTCTGTACAATACAGGTGTTTGACCAAATCTCTCTAGGTCCCTTCTGGCCCCAGGTTCTCTCAGCGGAGGCTCTGCTGTGCCAGTTGCTGGGTGTGAGGCCCTCTGGGTTCACCACCTGTGCCTTTTCTCTGAGCAGCAGGCTGTCTGGCGAGCCCTGTGGTGTACAGGTGGTTGCTTGCAGAGGCCTGTGGGGTGTCAGGGAATGTCTGGTGCCCTCTCGCCTTCCTTAGAATTCCTTGGGACAGCCTGGTCAAAGAGGGCAGTGGAGAGGCAGTGTCACACTGGCACGCTCCTGTCATGTTCTTTGCCTTATTTAAAACCTCTTCCTTCCTCTGAAAGGCTCTTCTGGATTCCTTCTAGTTCCCTCTACCATGGAGAATTTGAGAGTTTTAAAGAATTTTAGAGCCAGAAAAGCCCTATGTTGTCATCAAGTCAAAGCCTCTTATTTACAGACGGGGAGGCTGCAGCCCAGAGAGGGGTCTCTCTCCATACCACTCAGCTTGTGAGTGCCCGAAGCGGAACCTGTGTCTACTGACTCTCACTTCAGCACTTTTTCAAGTGGACTCACATAGTATGTCAGCCAATTAGGGATTCATTTATTTTACTAAGCTTCTTTTTAAAATTCTTTGTAAGTGTAAACTTTATTCCCTTTTTCTCCTGCTTTACTTTACTATGAGATCAGCATTCGTGAGTCATGCTGAATGCTCAGGGAAAGAGAGCCTGAGCGAGCCGTGCTGCAGGGAGGCGGGCCCCTTGGGCTGCCAGGGGCTGGGAGCAGGGGTTGCAGACTGTGGGAAAGAATGAGAAGGAGGCTCAGGTATCCCAGCACCGGACTTTGCCTTTGGAATTTGTTTCCTGACATCCATCAATAATTGGTGTGCAGACTGAGTTCAGAAATTACGACTGATTTGCTAGCTGGTTATCAGCTTTCCTGAGTCTATATTCTGCATTGCAGACTAGACTGGTGTGTTCTGGTCTTTCCCTCTCTCCAGCCGCCTGGTAGGTAACGCTGCAGTAAGGCGACTGCTGACGGCCAGTTGAGTGGCCAGTTGAGTGCTGTCCGTATGCAGCTCCTCCCTGTCAGTCCTGTCTGTCACTGAGCTTTCACGGGCATCCGAATGCAGGTCTTCTCTGTCAGCGCAGTGTGCACCTTTTCAGGAACCTTCAGTCTAGTTCTCTTTAAAAAATCTCTCTGTTTTTGTTATAGGGGGTATAACATGTATCCTTTCCCTAATCTGTGCCTTGGTCCTTGCTTACTTGGATCAGAGAGCAGAAAGAATCCTTCATAAAGAACAAGGAAAAACAGGTAAGTATAAATGCAAGAAAAGTGGGGCTTTGGGGAATTATGTTGTTTTTGAGATAATTTACAATGAGATAAGTTCCTAGTGCAGTGTTATAAACGTAGTGAGGCTTAGTACATGTCTTGTGTCTTTTATTTCCAAATCTGTTTCCACTTGTCTAAGTTTTTGGTTACATTTTCTTTCTCCTTAAGTGTTTTTGGCATAATTTACATTCTTGATTGTACTTTGTATATTTGCAAAATGATGAGTGTTCCTGAAAGGGAGCAGGAAGTAGGTATCAGTCTTAGGTTTTGCTTTTTCTAATGTCTTTTTAAGTTATCCCGCAAACTATTTCCAATAATTTACTGAGAATAGTATTTTTTAAAACTGAATGCAAATGTTAATCACATGATAAAAGAAAAATCTTCTTGACATAGATGTGGACGGTCACGCCCACACCCGCCTCCCTTCCTTCTCCCAGGTGAAGTTATTAAGTTAACTGATGTGAAGGACTTCTCCTTACCCCTGTGGCTCATATTTATCATCTGCGTCTCCTATTACGTTGCCGTGTTCCCTTTCATTGGGCTTGGGAAGTGAGTATTCTCTAGCATTCCATCTTTGTTGGTTAAATTATAATCACAGCTCAATCACAGAAATGTAATTGTTTTTAGCTGTAAATCTTTCTTCTCTGGTTATAATTTATATTTACACAGGAATTGTTTTACATCTGGGACACAGCTGATTTTCTTAGCTTAAGGTTTACTATTGGTTTTTTTTTTGGAAGAGCAGCCCTGAGCTAACTACTGCCAGTCCTCCTCTTTTTTGATAAGGAACCCTGGCCCTGAGCTAACATCCGTGCCCATCTTCCTCTCTTTATATGTGGGACGCCTACCACAGTGTGCCATGCCAAGTGGTGCCATGTCTGCACCTGGGATCCAAACCGGAGAACCCCGGGCTGCCGAAGCAGAACGTGCGAACTTAACCACTATGCCACTGGGCTGTCCCCTAGTATTGGTTTAATACTTTTATTATTCTTTTGAAGAGATCCCTAATAACAGTTTTGATTTATAATGTAGATTTATTTTAATACTTGATTTTGGATGTGTATTCTTCTTCACTTCCCCTTTATTCCCTGGTTAGGAGTCCTCTGATTGAGAATGGAGATGTCGTGTTGTCTCACGGCGACTGGGCACACTTGCATTTGCTAGGACTGTGGTTCCTCCAGACTCAAATTCAGGGTTCAACGCAAATTCTTCTTTGCTTTATCTTCTCCCTCTCTCTGCTTTTTCATTGGCATCTGCTTAAGCAGAGCAGTGTGTGAGTGTGTTTGTGAGGATGCGTCTTGTAATTATAAGCTTTAAATTCAGGCTGTTGTTTTAAATAATTTGAAACAAGCCCCCTATCTGTTATTTAGCGAGGAACCTATTCAGTGCTGCTTTTAAGGGAAAGAAGCAGTCGCAATTTCTGGTAGTAATATATTTGGTTTTCTGAAAAATTTGTACTGTTTGCTATATATGTAAAAGGGAGAAAAACTAGGCATCAGTATATTTTATTTAGTTGAAGTTTTTATGTAAACACTAAACCTTTAGCTGATTGCTTGAAGGTGAATATCAAATAAGGTAGGAAAACAGTATCAAGAAGGCCTAGTTATTTTTATTCAGCTTTATTTTGCCTTTATTTTTTAAAAACAGCAGTTCTCTCTAAAGTGTTTATTTCTCTCTCTCTTTATTTTAGAGTTTTCTTTATAGAGAAGTTTGGATTTTCATCTGAGGCAGCAAGTGCGATTAACAGGTATTTCATTAATTCTCTAAGTGCTTATTGTGTGCATAGCCTGGATCTTTAATTATAGCCAGTTTGAGACAAAAAAGACTTATGTGATGTAACATCCACTGTGAGGCCAAGACTCTGGTGGGACTTGAATCCTGAGTGGCCATCTGTGCATTAATGGAAAACTGAAGAAGTCTTGCACCGCTCTTCATATTTCTGTTTACTGATGACCGTTTTAGGCTAATGTTAAATTAATGAGCTAGGGTTTGCTTTGCCTGATGGTTTTAGGGACTTTGTGCATTTTTTTTTTTTAGCTGTGACACGTTTTATTAAATATCTTGTGTGTTCTCTGGACAGTGTTGTCTATGTCATATCAGCTCCCATGTCCCCAGTATTTGGGCTCCTGGTGGATAAAACAGGAAGGAACATTGTTTGGGTCCTGTGTGCAGTGGCAGCCACTCTTGCTTCCCACATGATGCTGGCCTTGACGCTGTGGAACCCTTGGATTGCTATGGTAATGTCTCCATGAGCACCTGGGGGCTTGGGGCTTCAGCCAGGACTCTGCGTGCATGTCCGGAGGCACAGTCAGCTCCTCCGATGGAGTGCTTATGACAGTGCAGAGAACGATAACTTGATTTCAGTTTCTGCAAAACATTTTCAGAGTATCAGTATTAATATTCACGCATAAGGTGCTTGTCTTTTCATTTGTCTTATTTAACAGAGTGATCTTAATGCTGACATAGAATTTGAAATAAAGTAGTCTTACAAAAGCCAAATGCTTGTTAGTTTAATTTTTGTTTTTTGTATTTCATTAAAAGAAATAATTCCATCATAGGTGACCAAAAAAAGCTGTCGGCCCAATATCCATGGTTTTGAATTCTTTTGTCTTTGACTCTTAGTAGGTCAGAAGTGATAGTGAATTCATCAAGTTTGTGTTATTGTTCTTCAGAATGTCATTTCTAAGACCACAGGCTGAAATGCTGCGTTTCTTCCCTGTATATTTATTTGTGCACTTGGTGAGAATTCTGGAGGACAGATTCCTAGAAGCGGAAACGCTGTAGCGGAGGCTTTGCACATGTAACATCTTGATAGATACTGTGAACGACAACTCCAGTAACTGTCCACCTATTTAAACTTTGCCAGTAACATATGAATGTGTCTGTTTTTAGTGTCCTTGCCTGTGCTGGACATTGGCATTATTTTAATCTTTGCCAATCTGACAGGTGTAAACGATCTTATTTTAACTTAAATCATAAGGTTTCTTTTTTAATTGAAGAAAAAGTCAGCATTAGGTGATGTTTAACAACCGGTGGTGGTTGTTGGTTCTCTGCCCTGCTCTCCATTTGGGTGTTGATGACCCAGAGGTAAGATAATGGACTGTTGGTGTGATGTTGTCTTGATGGCTTAATTTGTAATTCCTAATAAATACTGGATAATTAGCTTGCCTGAAACATTGGTAATAACTTTTGGCAAATTAGTTTTATTTTCTTGCTTGGTCATTGACTGCACCTTGGGCCCAGCTAGTTATATATATATATGCATATAATATAAAATGGTTAAAACAGTGTGTATTTTGTCACTAGAGACATATTGTTAGGGCCAGGACTTTTTTCTGTTAAATTTGAGTTTTAGCCTAATTGCAATAATATTTGCATGAGTATTTGTATATTAGTTATTATGTTACTCTTGCTCATCTGCATCAAAGGAAATTTACTTTTGGTTCATATAAGACTTTTAGCTTTTTCCATGTTGCTTTCTGTAGTGTCTGCTGGGAATCTCTTATTCATTACTTGCCTGTGCGTTGTGGCCAATGGTGGCATTTGTAGTTCCTGAACATCAGCTGGGAACTGCATATGGCTTGTAAGTATTTGCACCATGGGTCATGTGATGTCTTTCTGCTGTATCGATTTAACTATCATATGGAACTCCAGGTCTCCTGAATCTGCTCATCTTCAGGCTTCTGGGATAGCTCTGACCCTGAAAATACAGTAGTCTCCCCTTATCTCTGGTTTTGCTTGCCGCAGTTTTGGTTACTCACGGTCAGCTGCGATCTGAAAATATTAAATGGAAAATTGCAGAAATAAACACATCATAAATTCTAAAGTGCACCCTGTTCTGAGTAGCATGATGAAATCTGGTGCTATCCCGCTCTGTCCTGTCTGGGACGTGCATCATCCCTTTGTCCAATGTGTCCATGCTGTATGCGCCACCCCCTTTAGTCACTTAGTAGCCGTCTCAGTTATCAGGCTGACTGCTGAGATGTTGCGGTGCCTGTGTTCAAGTAGTTCTTTATTTTACTTAATAATGGCCGCAAAGCCAACTTTATTATTGGTTACTGTTGTTAATCTCTTACTGTGCCTAAGTTATAAATTAAACTTTGTCATAGGGGCCGGGCCCCATGGCCGGGTGGTTAAAGTTCCATTCACTCCGCTTCGGTGGCCTGGGGTTTGTGGGTTCAGATCCCGGGTGTGGACCTACTCCACTCATCAGCCATACTGTGGAGGCATCCCACATAAACAGTAGAGGAAGACTGGTTAGCTCAGGATGAATCTTCCTGACAAACAAAACAAAACTTTATCATAGGTATGTATGTATGTATAAGAAAAAACAGTGTATATAGGGTTTGCTACTATCTCTGGTTTTAGGCATCCACTGGGGGTCTTGGAACATAGCCCTCACAGTTAAGGGGGACTAGTGTAACTGGAAAAGTCAGTTAATCTATTAATGGTATTATTGCGGCAACAAATATTCCAAGCCTCCAGCAAGAGGTCTGGAGTTAAGCTAACCCGTAAGAGGCGATTGCTAACATTACCACCCCACTGCCTGTTTGTCTGAGGGCTTCTCAGTGAGGAGGGGCGCTCCGGTCTTTGGCCCAAAAGGGCAGGAACAGGAAACCATGTGTCTGGTTGGTATTCACATAGCCCTTCCCCGCATTCAGCAGGAAGGTGTTGAGTTCATACTGCACTCAGTCAGGCGAGCTCCCTGGCCTCTGAGCATCAAGTCGAGTAGTGTGAACTGATCAGGCCATCCCTGGTTGCAGACCTCTCTCAGCACTGAGTGTGTGTAGTTCCTAGATAACTGATGTTTGTAGTGAGTTGTTACTCTGTGTGTAAAGACTTTTGAATTGAAATGTGTTTTTGTATTTCTTAATTGTAGCATGCAGTCCATTCAGAATCTTGGGTTGGCCATCATTTCCATCATTGCTGGCATGATATTGGATACTCGGGGTTATTTGTTTCTAGAAGTTTTCTTCATCGCCTGTGTTTCTTGTAAGTGTGCCATGCGGCAACATTTAGTTTTTTTTAGTACACAGCAGCATGTTCTCGTTTATACTTTTAGGTTTTTGTTGTTATTGTTCTCTTTACACCTCTTTTAAACCTAGTCCCTAGGATGTAGCTCTCAGACTTGCCTAATTCTTAGCCTGTGCCTCAGTTTCCCAGCTGGTGACGTTCTAGTTCTTTGAAGATTCGCAGGCATTTTTCAGGAGATTGCTATCCCTAAAGGCAGTAACGGAATCTGCTTCATATTGTTTTAAATATTTATAGTTTTTAAGAAACATTTCCCCCTTGAAAATGGAACCATTAGAAGGGTCCTGAGTGTGTCTCTGCTGTGAATGTGTGCAGTTGGTGTGATTTACATGTGAGTGCTCATGGTTTATTCACTAGATAGTTTTAAATTGCTTCATTCTTTGTCCCATTATTTAATTTTACCTGTAATGATTCATTGGTTAAAAATAGGAAGCATTAGGAAACTGTTGAAAACTATAAAAATAAATCAGTATTTTTTCATTGATAGTTTTTACCATACACATAAATTGTGTTCATCTGAAAAAAATTCTCATATGACATATCAAGATGTCTTTTATACTTTGATAACATGTTTAAAATGACAAACCCCAGGGATGATTTTATCAGACTTCATTTCATTTATAGGAGATACCACATTTGAAGTATAGATAGTCTGTATTTGCAGATAATTGCTTATGAATAATGTGAACGCATTTTATTATCTCATAATTTTAGAAGTAAGCCCATCAGATTTTAAAAATAGATTATTTGTTTTTGAAAACTGGGTCATATAAGAATTCAAAATACTGGGTCATGAAAGTGTTTTGTCTATTTTTGATGGTGCAACATGTGGTTTGATTCAGTCCTGAGTTCCATATATATTTGGTTCTCAAACACTGTGTCATTTAAAAATGTTTTTGTTGCCATATTAATTTAGATTGTGTGCCTCACTTGTTAAGGTAAAAAGCCAAGCACCGGACTTGGTGACGTCTTCAGTGGCTCTGGGCATCTAATCACCATGTTCTAATGTTTGGTTAATTTGTAAAATAGACGTCGTGTTTTCAGACCTAAAACCCACAAAGGATTACTTCTGTTTGGCTCTCTGTAAAAAGATCAACAGTCTAGGGGCTAGGAGGAGTTTTTGGGAGGTGGTGGGAAGGGCCTGTGCTTACAAGGGGAGAGGGGAGAGAGGGGTAGGGCTGACCTTGAGATGGGGCGGCCCTTCTCCTGTGGGGGTCTCTGCTTCTCTGTTTCTGGCCCTGCCATCCCGGGGCTCAGGTAGCCCATTGAGAAAATGGTGTGTAACTTATTTTTAGTGCTTTTTGGAAAAGAATGTGAATGGTGTTTTTATTTGTAAATGTAAGTTAATAAAGATTTGATTTTGTGTAAGGTTTACTTTGTAACTGTGCTTACGTAGGAATCATGAGGAAGAACTAAATGTTCTTTAAGGCCCTGTTTTTTTCACTTCCAGTGTCACTTTTGTCTGTGGTCTTGCTCTATGTGGTGAATCGTGCCCAAGGTGAGTAGAGTGACCGGGGTCGTGTTGTGGGCTCCCTGATTGTCTGCATGCCTCTTTAGAAGCCAGTGCTTCAGTTCATGTAGGAATGACACTGTTCGTAGTGATGGAAACACAGTTCATTTTGTAACATAGAATTTTGTATTCTGGACCTACACATTTATTAAAATTATTGTCATGTTCTTTCTGGCCAGGTCATTTTAAATTTTGTAATATAAAATTTTAGATGTTCTTTTCATATTAGCATAAAGAAGCGTGGCATTTTTTAAATAACTTAAAGCCCTTCATGTGTTATTGTCTTATATTTAAAAAAATAAGTAAACAAATTTATAGCTGTTTTCATTTCAAGGTTGAAAGTGGTTAATATAGAATGAGAAATTACAGATTTTTTTTTTGCTAATACATGCTACATGCATTTTTGGTTTTTGCTTTGTTCTTTATAAGATTTTGATGTTACGCTTAGTAATTTTTCTAACTGGTTTGCCCCCAAAGTTGTCATGTACTTAGAAGGATGTGTACACATGCTGTTTAAATAATTTCAGGTCATTTCCTTTAATTTCTCTTAATTTTCGGTATTATTGGATATTAACACTATGTTTCAGTTAACGAAACCTAAGGCAGTATGTAAGTACAAACTAAAAAAAAAAAAGCTAAAATTAAGGAGTCATTATTTGTAATATATAAGGATTCTTTTTTTTTTAAAATTGTGTTTATTTAATTAGTACCCTACTCTTTTTTTTTAAAGATTGGCACCTGAGCTAACAACTGTTGCCAATCTTCTTTTTCTTTTTCCTGCCTTTTTTACTTTCTCCCCAAATCCCCCCAGTACATAGTTGTATATTCTAGTTGTAGGTCCCCTAGTTGTGGCGTGTGGGACGCCACCTCAACATGGCCTAATGAGCAGTGCCATGTCTGCGCCCAGGATCCGAACCCTGGGCCGCTGAAGCGGAGCGCACGAACTTAACCACTCAGCCACAGGCCGGCCCCTATAAGGATTCTTAAAAAACACGTTATTTGGTTGGAATGGTTCCAGGAGATAAATGTTTTTTTTCATCTTCCATAGCCTTTTCTGATACTTGAAGGTATATCAGTGCAAATGTGTGTGTGTGTGTGCATGCATGTTTAAATTTTCCTTACAATAGTTATATTGAAAAGATTGTATGCTTATTTGTATTTTAGGTGGGAACCTAAATTATTCTGCAAGACAAAGGGAAGAAATAAAACTTTCCCATACTGAGTAAGTATTGAAAGAGAGAAAAGTTTCTTTATTTTGAAATTTTAAACATTAGCATTTTGTTTCATGATATTGGGTGTGAACTTTTAAGAAATTAGTCTTTTTCTTGAGTTTTGAGAGCTAACAGTTATCTTTGGAACTACTATAATTCTTGTTTGTATGGGAAAATTTAAAAAGGTGGATTATCAAGTGTTAAATTGAAGGGTGAAAAAAAAAGAATTGGGTTTTAAATTGCCCTCTGAGAGAGGAAGAAAGGTCTTTGTCTTAAGTCCTTGTGCTGAGCTCACCCTTCTGTTCTCTCTCATATTTCCTTTTTCTTAACTTTCGTACTGACATGCTATTCTGTGTTCTCTGACTCATTTGGAACAGATTAAAGTGGATAACGTGGGGTTTAAGATTAATATTTTTCCACGAGTGTATGCTAAAATAGAATAGTGATTCTATTTTCTGCTATTTCTAATTTTTCTAGATGTTGAATTTTTTGTGATTTTAAAAATTCGTTTGTAAATATACACCATGTGACTGAATTTTGAATAGGTTAAAATCTGGTAGAGCAAGGCTGTGTTTTTGGGGGTGGTTCTTGGCCATCTCAGATTCCTTTTTAACATAGTAATTCTTCTAGAAGTACACCTTAAGAGAATAATCAGAAGTGTTCCGAGTTTTAAGTATCTTTATGACAGTCTTATTTATTATGTCAAAAAATTGGAAACAAGATAAATGTCCCAAAGAAAGGAAATGGTTAAATATATTATAACACATCCATATAGTATGTTGTTAAAATCGTGTTTTAGAAGAATTTTTAAAGTCAGAGATACTGAACGTGCCGTAGTTAAAGTTAACAAAAGATATAAATGCAAATATAATATCCTAATTTTGTTCAAGATAAGTACGCAGGCAGGTGTATTTCTTAAACCCGTTGCTTGTATATAATAGAAAAAAATACTGCAAGAAAAATCCTCAGATATTAACACTTCCTTTAAATGGTAAGGTTACAAGAATTTTCTTCTTTGCTTTTCTTTGTTTTCCAATTTTCTGCATTGATCCTGTGTTACTTTTATGATCAAGAAGAGGTAGTTAAAAGATTATCCAGGAAAGTGTTTAACTTTTAATATTTGGCACTACATGTTTTATAATGCTTATATGATTTTCATTTTGTAAACCAGATGGGGCTTTGTGTTGTTTTGATAATTTATTGCATTATGTTTTGCAGATGAGACGTTTAAATGACTGTGTCGTGAGAATGGGCTGCACACATCATTGATTTAAAAACCTCCATTTTAAAATTTTATTTAGAGTTTAGTCATTAAGAAAAATAATGGTCTGGAAAGTTGTTACATTTATATTTCAAAGGCGTCTATTTCAGAGCGTATGCCTGTGTCTTTTGCATTGTGTATTGCTGAAGAATTCTACTTTGGAGGAGACTAGTCAACAGTGGAGTTGAGAAAATTGCTCTGAAACGTGCAGGTAGACTTCAGGAAGGACAGTAAATAAAGACAGGAGAACATGGGATCTTGAATTGAGATAGTTTTCACAAAGTATATCTTAGGCAGATGGTCTTTCCTTTTTCTTAAAGCAAAAAAACAAAAACCCTTTGAGAGGATAGAAGGGATGTTTTGTACAGAATGAACAGTGGCATTTTAATAGGCATTCCCTTTTGTAGTAGGGAATATTTGAAAGATATTTTTATGAAGGCTCTTCATTTTCACAATTAGCAGATGGTGTTGTGCTCCTCTTAGTTCCGAGAGGTTGCTGGGCAGGGACCCTTGTGAGCCACTTTCTCTCTCTGGTTTTGAGGACCCTAATCACTTAGGGATGTAATTTTGTGGTACAAACTTTTTGTATGGTTTTTTTCTTATAGTCTAATTAATTACAAAAACTTGTCCTGTAACTTAGGATGATTGCATATCTTCATGGATAAATAAAAACACTGCAAAAGGAGTTCTTGTCTTCTACCTTTTGATTTTTAAAAAATATTAAAACACTGATTTTAACTCTTGTTTATGTTGAAGATTATCTCTATACGAAAAATCTAAGTTGGAATAAAGAAAATTTGCCTAAAGTCATTGAAAGGTTATGGGAATAGCTTTTTCTCCAGAGTAAGACCTTAAGTAACATTTATGTTTTTCACATTAAATAAAATATGGATATGAAATTTCTCTGACAAACTTGAACACTTTTTCTTTCCCTCCCCAAAGCCCCAGCACATAGTTGTATATTCTAGTTGTAGGTCCTCCTGGTTCTTCTGTGTGAGCCGCCACCACAGCATGGCTGCTGACAGGTGAGTGGTGTGGTTCTGTGACTGGGAACTGAGCCCAGGCTGCTGCAGCAGAGCGTGCTGCACTTTAACCTTGAACTAGGCCATCAGGGCTGGCTCTAAACACGTTTTAATTGACTCAGTCTTAGCATATCATATGTTAAAGTCAAGAAGTTCTCACTGTCTGTCGCTCTCTGTGGACACGCAGATGTTTTAGACAGCAGCTGTTCAACTCACGTATTTAGCTGATTTTGTTGTTTAAAGTGCATGGCATAACAGTGTATGCTTAAAAGTCCTGGGACAGATTAAAAGTGCATTCCTTATTCCGGGTAAGTTTATTTACATGGGTTTTCTGATTTACAGTTTGTGTGTCATTATTCAGTCATTAGTTCTTGAGGCTTTGACGGCCCTGGGACTCTTCTAGCCTGTGGCTAATGTGTTTTGGCCTTGGCAGTTGGCGAGAGTGCTGGAGTCAGCCGCTGCTGGAGGGCCCATGTGGTCTGACCCTGCCCCACTCTTCCTGCCACCTCTGTGCCCCAGCCTCAGTGAGCTGCTTATGTTTTTTCAAATGGGTCATGTTCCTTCCCTTCTCTGGGGCTTTGTCCACACTGCTGTCTTTGGTTAGAATATTTTATCCATGATTCTCTAAGACCTGGTTTTACCTGATTTACAACAGAAAACCTTAGCCCCAGCTCAGAACCGTTCTTCCTATGGAGATTATTCCAGACCCTTCAGCTTCTTCCTAAATTCCTGTGATCTTTAAAAAAAAACTGTCCTTTTCCTTCTCAGCTTACCTCAGCTTGTAATGGGGAATTTGTGATGGTGTGGGTGTGGGTATCTCTCTCTTCCTTTAGATTGTAAGCTCCGTGAGGGCAGGGACTGTGTTAGTTAATAACAGTTGTGTCAACAGTGCCTAGTACAAAGTAGGCACAAAATAAATGTTTTTTTTTTATTTTTTTTTTTTAAATATTTTATTTTTTCCTTTTTCTCCCCAAAGCCCCCCAGTACATAGTTGTATATTCTTCATTGTGGGTCCTTCTAGTTGTGGTATGTGGGATGCTGCCTCAGCGTGGCTTGATGAGCAGTGCCATGTCCGCAACCAGGATTCGAACCAACGAAACACTGGGCCGCCTGCAGCGGAGCGCACGAACCCAACCACTCAGCCACGGGGCCAGCCCCCAAAATAAATATTTTTTGAAGGATGCATAAATAAAAAGAATAAATTGGAATAATGTTTTTGGAGGATAAATTGACAATATGAATAAAAATACCTAAAAGGGGAATAGTGATGGGCTGCATGCCTTTTAGCTTAGCAATTCCATTTCTAATAATTCATCCTAAGGAAACCGTCAGACAGATGTGCACATGTAGATATTTTAAGAAAATATCTTTCTTGCAAGTTTGTTTATAATAGCCTAAAATAGGAAACTACCAATGTTTATAAGAGTAGGAGATTTACGTATGTGGTATCATATGCTTAAAGTGAAATATCAAGCAGTCGTGAAATGGTTTCGTTAGAGAACATGTCGATGTGGCATGGTGGTGGCATTATTTTGTGGAAGATTCAGAGTGCTACTAATTTTGTAAAAAACGCTAACACCTGAAGGATATGTACATGTTTCTGGGTGATGGCTTTCTTTTGGCTTATTTGTATTTTCTAACTTTTCAGCAATAAATATTGCATAATAAAAGTTTAAAAAATCCCACAAAGAATGTAATTCAACACAAGTTTGAGTAATACTGTTTGAAGAAAGAAGTAGATAGTGTTCAGAAAGGAGGAAGGTAACAGGTAGTGTTTTCCAAAGAACTGGGGATGTGGGTGGAAGTTAAAAAGGGCCCTGAGTTAGAAGTAGAATTTGCATTGACAGAAAGAAAACTGCATGTGAAGGGAATCATAGGGGACAAAACAGAATAGAGAATGGTGTAAAGGCTGGGTGAAATATGGTGCTTATTGTTTGGTCCCGTGGTAGCAAGGAACAGCTTCGAGTTGTCTGTGAGCTGTCCCTGATTTCTGAATGCCTTGCTTTGTACGCTTGGCCTTCTTCCATTGGAGTGTTCTTGGAGTGCCCACAGGGGGTCTGGGTGTAGGCCCTGGGCAGAGATTTACTGCCTAGACTTTGATGGGGAAAACTGTGATATTTTGTAGGAAATGCTGAAGAATCTGGCATCACGCAGCCAGGCTAGACAGCGCCAAACTTCTTACAGACTTAGTACCACTTACTCCCCTAAAGTGTTAGTGTATGTGGTCACGCCCGAGTCCTCTCCTTGGTGGATCCTCATTAGTCCCATGTCCTGGTAGCTGCCCTGCCTAACTTTACTCCCTAAACTGATTTTTCCCCTGTAGCTTTGATGGCAAATCAATTGTGTAATGAAAATCAGTGGACCCACGAGGCATTCCATTTGGGATAAACACGTACTTTGTAGAAGTTTGTCTTTCTTTCTTTCTTTTTTTTTTAAATGCATTTTATTTATTTATTTTTTTTAAGACTTTATTTTTCCTTTTTCTCCCCAAAGCCCCCCGGTACATAGTTGTATATTCTTCGTTGTGGGTCCTTCTAGTTGTGGCATGTGGGATGCTGCCTCAGCATGGTTTGATGATCAGTGCTATGTCCGCGCCCAGGATTTGAGCCAACGAAACACTGGGCCGCCTGCAGCGGAGCGCGCAAACTTAACCACTCGGTCACGGGGCCAGCCCCAGGAGTTTGTCTTTCTGAAGAGGTTCACCTTCTGTGCTTGTCTCCTAAGTTTTACTAGGTAGTAGCTTTCTGTGCTTCCATTTCCTGGTTGAGAGAGTACAAGATCACTAGAGTTCCTTCTAAGCACTCACGTTCTTTATTTATGAAACATGCAGACATGGCTGAGAACCACATATTAGATGTGTATTCAGTGATGGATGACCTAAAACATTGTCTGCAGAAATCTGTTTGGCCATTCCTTGCATTTAGTCGATCGGTTGGGTGAGACAGGCCCTCCTAGGATTGCATTTGGATTCCTCTGGGCACTCTGGCAAGTAAATGAAGCATGCTCGGGAATTTCTAGGGTGCGGTGGGTTCACACACAGCTGCAAGTGTGGGCTGGTACGCTTTCAAGCTTCTTCCAAGTCTTATCCCACTCCTCTCCCCCACCTCACCCCCCTCCAAATACTGAGGCTTGTTCGGTTTTCCAGGGAAAATCTGATTATTGCGGAGTTCTGTGTTTTACTACATTCACGTAGTTTTTAACCTTTCAAAGCAGACCCTGTCTGCTCTGGGGAAGAGGTAAATAAAAGTTGCAGGAGAAGAGGTACATCTGTCTCCCTCGCCCACCCCGTCACCCCAGTAGAGCCCAGATTTCACAGGGTACCATGGGCAAGAGGTGGGTAAGCAGTTAATGGAGTGAGGTGGGAGGAGGATGAGAGAGGAGAGAGGCTGAGTTTGAGCTGTCAGCAACAGGGATGGTGAAGTTGGAATGGGAGAAGTGGCTGGAGGGAGAACGGCCTTGTAATAGCAGCAAGAAGCCTGGGCCGGACACGGAGGTGGTGGGGAGGTGGGCCTGGAGATGGGTCATCTCGGGTTTCAGAGTCATTGCTTATGAAGTGGAGTGAGAGTGTCAGAGGAGAAATAAGTGTCCTCTGGGTTCTGGTGGGGTCCATGGGGGTGTAGAGTCCAGGCTTGGTGGATGGTGGCGACAGTCCTAAGAGGACAGTCATATTTAACAGACATTTAAGAATGTTTCCCGTGACTTTAATTGTATTTTACAGTTTTGTGAATTTCGGTAGCTACAGATACGTGTTCCAGCTCCCACAACCAGGATACAGAACAAATAGTTCCTTAACGAACATTTCAGAGGGAAAATATTGTAATATTTTAAGATGACATATGTGCTCCCTTCATTTAAGAGTTATGTTAGAAAGTTGGTGTATTTTCTAACACTTGAATTTTCAAAACGTTTTTCTAGACTGATGACTCAGTACATAAAGTTTTCATCTTCACGTTGCTTTAATGTATTTCATAGACTGCAATATTTTACCTTTTAACATCTGAAATTGGGATGTAGCTTATCTTTGACAGCATCTTACAATTCAAAGAAATACAGTATTGGGGAAAACCAAGTGTGTTGCTCTAATGATGTGATGAGGTTTGATGATGTAGGACATACACAGACCTCTGTGTCATTTGTTTCTGGCATCATTGGGCCTAAGGCTTGTTACTAGAAGTGGTGATTCAGAGTGTGGAAAATGTGACCCTTCCTTGAGGGTCACAGGCAGAGGATCAGTGATTTGGTGGCTGTGATACAGTGTGATGAGCACTGTCAGAGTAATGGCTGGTGGGGTTCAGAGAACCCAGAATGCTAAGATTCCCAGAGGAGGTGGTCTGTGAGCTGCATCGTAAAGGTGAGTAGGGCGATTGACCTAAGCAGAGAAGGAGTGGGGGGTCGTGGGGGCACAGGAGGCCCCTGAGCTTGTTCTGAGAGAGCCTGCTGTTGGTGAGAATGGAGAGAGGGGGCCTGTGGAGAGGTCAGATGGAAAGCTCATTGGGAGGCGGATTGCTGGGGGCCTTTTATTCAGTGTTCAGTATTTTGATCTTAATCCTGAAGGCAAATGGCAGCCTTTGGAAGATTTTTATGCTGGGAATTATTGAGATAGGATTTACCTTTCTAGAAAAATGACCCTAGAAGCAGAAGGAAGGAATGAATTGGACATTGA